TATTCAGAAGTGGAATTGCTGGGTTATACAGTAGTTTTTTGTTTTGTTTTTTTGTTTGTTTGTTTCTTTTTGAGGAACCACCATAGTGGCTGCACTAATTTGCAATCCCCCAACAGTGCACTAGGGTTCCCTTTTCTCCACATCAGTGGCAACACTTGTTACTTTTTTCTTTGTGATAATAGCCATTCTACCAGGTGTGAAATATCCCATAGCTTTGATTTGCATTTCCCTTATAATTAGTCATTTTGAATATTTTTTTCATATGTCTATTGGCCATCTGTATGTCTTGTTTGGAGACATGTCTATTCAGAACCTCTGCTCATTTTTTTTTTTTAAATGGATTGTTTGATTTTTGATGTTGAGTTGTATGAGTTCTTTATATATTTTATAATATAACTTTTTACAAGATATATAATTCACAAATATCTTCTCCATTTCAATAAGTAGCCTTTACATTTTATTGATGGCTTTCTTCACTGTGCAAACGTTTTTTTAGTTTGATGTAGTTCCACTTGACTTTTTTTGCTTTTGTTGCCTTTGCCCAAGGAGACATATTAAAAAAATAGCATTGCTAAGAAGGATGTAAAGAGTTTCCTTCTAGGAGTGTCAGGTATTACAATTAAGTCTTTCATTCATTTTGAGTTCATTTTTGTATATGATGTAGGAAAATGGCCTAGTTTTACTTTTTGTATATGTGTGTTTTGTTTTTACAACCCCATTTATTGAAGAGACTATCTTTTCCCTTTGTATATTTTGCCTTCATTGTCACAGATTAGTTGGGCTTATTTCTGGGATGTCTATTCTGCTCCATTGATCTATCTGTTTTTGTGCCAGTATCATACTGATTTGATTTCTATAGTTTTGTGATATAGTTTGAAATCAGAGAATGTGATACTCCAACTTTGTTCTTTTTTCTCAAGATTCCTTTGGCTATCCTGAGTCTTTTGTGAAAAATGCCATTGGTATTTTGATAGGCATTGTGATAAATTGGTAGATTGCTTTGAGCAGTGAGCATTTTAACAATGTTAATTATTTGAGTACATGACCATAGTTTAGCTTTTCTTTTAGTTGTGTCTTCTTCACTTTCTTTTATCAATGTCTTATAATTTCCAGAGCACAAGTCTTTTACTTCCATGGTTAAATTTATTTCTAGGTATTTTATTGTTTTTGTTTCAATTGTAAATGGAATTATTTTCTTAATTTCTCTTACAGATGACTCATTTTTGTATAGAAAACAATAGAATATTAATTTTGCATTCTTTAACTTTATTCAAATATTAGTTCTAACAATTTTTATTGGGATGTTTAGAGTTTTCTATAATATAGTTTTATTTATCTGCAAATAGTAAGAATTTTACTTCTTTATTTTCTGTTTGAATCTTTTTATTTCCTTTTCTTGTGTGATTGCCTTGGCTGTTGCTTCCAATATTATGTTGAATAAGAGTAGTGAAAGTGTGCATGCTTATCTTGTTCCTGATGTGAGAGAAAAAGCTTTCAGCTTTTAACCATTGAATATTATGCTCGCTTATGGGTTTGCTGTACAGCCTTTTGTATATTGAGGCATGTCTTTTTATAGCCACTTTTTTTAAGTGTTTTATAATAAAAAGAATGTTGAATTTTGGTGATTCCTTTTCTGAATCTATTGAGATGTCATGATTTTTCTCCTTTATTTTGTTGTTATGGTACAGCACATTGATTACTCTGTGGATATTGAAGCATCTGTAATTCCTGGAATAAATTTCACTTGATCACATTGCATTATCTTTTTAATGTATTGTTGTATTTTAGTTGCTAATATTTTGTTGAAAAATTTTGCTTCTATCTCTATCGGGAATATTGGCCTATAATTTTCTATTTTAGTAGTTTCATTGTATTGTTTGTTATCAGGTAACATTGGCCTCATAGAATGAGTTTGAAAGCTTTCCTCCTTCATTTTTTAAAAATATAATTTTAAATAATTTTACATTTTGATTGTTTGGCTGCAATTATCTGTGAATATGTCTGGTCCTAAACTTTTGTTTGTTGAGTGTTTCATTGTTTGTTTGTTTTTTTGTTTTACTTTTTGAGTACTGATTCATTTTTCTTTTTATATGGAACTAGATGTCTCATGCATGAAATTAGTGCACAGGGTAGGGGGGTGGGGGGTGGTCCCTCAGCCTAACCTGCATTCTCTCGCAATCTGGGACCCTTTGGGGGATGTCTGACTGCTGGTGCGGGATCGGGCCTAAACTGGCAGTCGGACATCTCTCTCTCAATCCAGGACCGCTAGCTCCTAACCACTTGCCTGCCTGCCTCATCATCCCTAACCACTCATCTGCCAAACTGATCAGCCCTAACCTCTCACCTGCCTGCCTCATCACCCCTAGCTGCCTCTGCCTTGGCCCCCGCTGCCAGGGCTTCATCTGGGATGACATCCTGAAAGTTGTTCAGCTGTCCAGTCTAATTAGCATATTAAACTTTTATTATTATAGATATTAATCAGTATGTTTAGGTTTTCTATTTCTTCCTGGCTCATTCTTAGAAGATTACATGTTTCTAGGATATTATCCATTTATTCTTGTCTAATTTTTTATTCATAGTATTCTTTTATAATACTATATAGTTTTGTGTTGTTGATTATTACTTCTCTTTCATTTCTGATTTTATTTGGCTCCTCTATCTTTTTTATTTCCTTGATAAGACTGGCTGAAGTTTCATCTTTTTTTTTTTTAAAAAAAACTAGCTTAGTTTTGTCAACCTTTTCTATTGTTTATTTTTTTGGTCCCATTTTATTTTTTTCTGCTCTGATCTTTATTTCCTTCCTTCTACTCACTTTGGGTTTTGTTTGTTCTTCATTTTCTTTTTTTTTAATATTTATTATTGAGATTATTATAGATGTTCCTCTTTTTATTTCCCATTGTCCCCCTCCATCTGGTTCCCACCCCACTCCAGGCCTTCACCACCCTATTGTCTGCAGAGATAATGCGCACATGCATATAACATCTTTGGTTAGTATCTTCCTGTCTCCCCCACCCCCTTCCTTCTGAGATTTGTCAGTCTTTCCCATGTTTCCATGCCTCTGATTCTATTTTATTCATCAGTTTATTTTGTTCATTAGATTTTTTTGTTCCTTTATTTTGATGTTTACATTCAATGTTGATAGATATGTACTTATTGCCATTTTTATTGTTCACTTCTTTTTCTTCTTCTTCTTCTTCTTCTTCTTCTTCTTCTTCTTCTTCTTCTTCTTCTTCTTCTCTTCTTATTCCTCCTCCTCCTCCTCCTCCTCCTCCTCCTCCTCCTCCTCCTCCTCCTCCTCCTCCTCCTCCTCTTCCTCCTCCTCCTTCTCTTTCTCCTCCTCCCCCTCCTTCTCTTTCTCTTCCTCTTTCTCTTCCTCTTCTGAAAAAATCCCCTTCAGCATTTCATGTAGTACTGGTTTGGTGGTGACTAACTCCTTTAGCTTTTTCTTGTCTGTGAAGCTCTTTATCAGACCTTCAATTCTAAATGAGAACTTTGCCGGGTAGAGTAATCTTTAGGTCCTTGCCATTCATCACTTTGAACATTTCTTGCAACTCCCTTCTGGCCTGCAAAGTTTCAGTCTCAATGTGCTTTTTTCTTTACTTCTCTAGCTGTAGGACTTTCTTCTTTACTTCTCTAGATTTCAGGCAGTTCTGAATGATGGTTTGCATTTTATTTGAAATTTTTATGTGGTTGTGGGAGGTGGTATATATCACTGTTTACCTATGCCGCCATCTTGGTTCTCTCTGTTCTTCATTTTCTATTTCCTTTAGGTGTAAATTTAGATTATTTATTTGATACTTTGTTTGTTTCTTGATGTAGGCACACAACACTATGAATTTCCCTCTTTTAACTGCTTTTGCTGCATCTAACAATTTTCGATCATTGTGTTTCCATTTTTATTTGTCTTAAAATACTGTTTTATGTCTGCTTGATTACTTTATTAACCTAATAATTGTTTAGTAAAATGTTGTTTGGTAACCTGTGTTTGTATTTTTTTTCCAACTTTCTTATTGCAATAGATTTCTAGTTTTTTAACATCAATAATGAGGAAGATACTTGATATGATTTCAATATTCTTAAAATTTCTGAGACTTGTTTTGTGGCCTAATGTGTGGTCTATTCTGGAAAATAGTGCAGACACACTTGAAAATAATGTGCATTCTGCTGATTTGGGGTATAATGTTCTGGAGGCATATGTTAAGTCCATATGCTCTAACGTGTTGCTAAAGCCACTTGTTGATATTAGATCTGGATGATCTATTCATTTATGTGAGTAAGGTTTTAAAATACCCTATTACTATTGTGTTATTGTCAATATCTCCCTTTCTGCCTGTTAATATTTGATTTAGGTATTTATTTGCTTTGTTGGGGTGTTTTTGACATAAATTGTGATGTTAAGGAAGCTTCAGAATTTTTTAACAGGATTCCCATTGAGATTATTGACATCTAAAATGAATGGTTGTGAAGTAGGTGTTAGAAAAGATGTATGAAATAGAAGTGATTTCTAAAATGGACAAATGCATACATATAAATATGTGTATGAATGAGCCAAAGTGTGGGATTGTAAAAGACTCCAAATTCCCTTCAGGAATGTGATTCTTATCATTATGACTGATACATAATTGTCACATGCTGATTATGTTTATTTGGTTGAATTAAATATTAAAACACTCAGATTCTTAAAATTAGAAGTCTGAAAGAGAATACCATCTAAAGCAACTAGTGAACCAAAAGACAAGGAGATAAGAAAACCAGGATTGACTATAGGGAGCTTCTCCTCTTAGCTGACTGTTAGGTAATGGCCTCATAACTCAAATGCTATAATAAAAGCATATCTTTTAAAAAGTTAAATTATAACATAATTAAAGCATGCATTTCTTATTTAATTTAAAATTTCAACTTAATTGAATAATAATGATCAATTAAAATATAATCTGATCATACTTCTAAATTTTATGGGTCTTATTTTTAATTCTAATTTCTAACATTTATTTTTCAAGGAAGCTTACAAGTTCACTATCAGCTGAGCAAGGAAGAAACCCATGTGTTCACCATTGAGGTAGAGAACTTTGCTAATAGAAGGATGCACCACTTGAAGATTAACCGAGAGGGAAGAGAGCTTACCATTCAGGTAACTTATTTTCCTCTTTTTATGCCTTGGATGCTCAAAAAACACTTTTCTGAGCTTCTATCCCACGCCAAGTATGGAACCAAGTTCTAGAGATAGATATGAATTACACTTGGCCCAGTCTTTGAAAAAGTTGAATAATGGTTCTCAGAGTGTTGCTGCACCCTTTCAGCCAGCATCAGCATTACTTGGGGCTTTGTTAGAAATGCAGATTCTTGGGCCCTACAACAGGTCCACTTAATCAGAAACTTCTTTGCAAGGGAGTCAGCAGGTGATTCTGATGCCTACTTAAGATTATAACCCTGAATTGTAGTAGAATGGGAAGACATATGAGTGAACTGGAAATCATGAGAGACTGGCCAGAGCTAAGACAGAAGTGTGCCCATGTGAAATGAGAGCATGGAGGAAGACACTGGACATCAGTATTCAATTCCTGGGTGAAGTTAGGACTAAAGTGAGTCTTGGAGGTTAATAGGAATTGGCTAGATGAAGAGAGAGCAAAGTGCTCAGGCAGGGAATCTATGGGAGCATTGGTAAAGTTGTCCTGAAGAGTACAGTATGTGGCCCTGGCTGGTTAGAGTTTCAGCCCTGTGGACCAAAAGGTTGTGGGTTCAATTCCTGGTCAAGGCCATGTACCATGACTGTAGGTTCAATCCCAGGCCCTGGTCAGGGCACATGCAGGAGACAACCAGGCTCTCTCTCTCTCTCTCTCTCTCTCTCTCTCTCTCTCTCTCTCTCTCTACCTCTCTCTCCCTCTCTTTCACTCTCTATAAAAATTAATGGAAAAATATCCTTGAGTGAGAATTTTTTAAAAAGTACAGTATGTGGCAGGCACTCCATAGAATTTCAGTGTAAAATTCATGGTATAAAGATCACACAGGAGACGATAGAGAATTGGCAGAGTCCACATCATCCTTTCTAGAATCATGACCTGAAGTTAACCTTTAAATCTTCCCAGCAGTCACCCCTTATTTGTTTTAATCCATCATATTTTTTATCTCCTAGGACTCCGTGGTCGGCAAACTGCAGCTCATGAGCCACATGCGGCTCTTTGGCCCCTTGAGTGTGGCTCTTCCTAAGCCTTAGGAGTACCCTAATTAAGTTAATAACAATGTACCTACCTATATAGTGTAAGTTTAAAATATTTGGCTCTCAAAAGAAATTTCAATCGTTGCACTGTTGATATTTGGCTCTGTTGACTAATGAGTTTGCCGACTACAGTCTAGGGCAGTGATGGCGAACCTTTTGAGCTCGGCGTGTCAGCATTTTGAAAAACCCTAACTTAACTCTGGTGCCGTGTCACATATAGAAATTTTTTGATATTTGCAACCATAGTAAAACAAAGACTTATATTTTTTATATTTATTTTATATATTTAAACACCATTTAACAAAGAAAAATCAACCAAAAATATGAGTTCACGTGTCACCTCTGACACGCGTGTCATAGGTTCGCCATCACTGGTCTAGGTGATCATTTTAACCCTCCTTATGTCTTCTATACCAACAAAAATCTTAACTACATATTTACTCTCAGCAGATGACATTTTTTTCTTCTTTCTTGTGAAAAAGATTTAACATTCGGACGGTATATACTCACCATCACATTTACCCAACCACCTGCATCTGTGTCTTTGTACTCTTTCTGTGACTTGTTGTAGACTATATAGAGTTAATGGCCCTAGCTAAGGCCTGATCCACCACTTGTGGGCTAAATCTCATATCCTACTTAGAAACATTCCTTCAGCATTCTGCGCTTTCCTTCTCTTTTCAACATTTACCAGCTCTATCGGATGGCTTCCCAAAGCATAAATCATGCAAACATTACATAAATAGCAAACAACAACAACAACAGAAAACAAACAAACAAACAAAAAACACTAAAAAACATGCTCTAAGGCAGGGAAGGAGAACTTTTATCCTCTTATCTAATTATATTTTTTCTGTTAGTTTATTGCTCACATCCTTGGAGATATTTTATATATACTTGGTCTCTGAATTTTGCATATATTTTTTTTAAAATCCATATCAATGATTTTTCTCCTTGTGTTACAGCAAAATAATACTTCTTAAGACACCATGGCCTTATCTTGCAAAATCCAATGGTCTTTTCTTACTTGTCTTCTCATCACCATTTAACACAGCACTTGCTTTCGGCTTTTGGGTCATATTGCCATTAGGCTTGCAGGACATACTTTCACCTGGTGTTTCTTCCTGTGTCTAATTTATCTTGTTGGTCCCCCTTTAACTTCCAAATTCTAACCTTTGGAATCTCCCTGGACTCCATCTTCAGAGTCTTCTCTTTTTAAACTGCACTCATTCTGTGGCTCATTTCACTCACCCAGTCTGTTAGGGGCAGAAATAGAATATTGGGGACCAGCTATAATTATAAGAAATATTAATCGTGCTCTGTTAACCACGATGGTTCTGTTCTGATTAGAAAGCACACCCTAACTTTGTTGGGAGTTATACACCCTGGGACATGGGAGCTAATATCGGAATGCAGTCCATCCTCCTTCTGAGAACTGACTGTCATTATGGAGAGATTTACAATCTCATGTATGAAATAATCTAGTCCTGGAGGCACCTCCTCTTTACAACCCCCAGCCCCTATCGCCTGTAATCTGGTCCCAGGGCACCCAGAGGCACCTGACCTCTGTGCCCCACCCCCCAGCCCGCATGACTAGTAACCTGTAATGACTATACCATGCCTACTTCCCCACGCCTATAATTCTTACTTTCCCAAGTAATCTTTGCCTTTCTATTCAGTATAAGCAGCTTGTTTATGCAGAGGGGCAGACCAGATTTTTGTGGCTGACCTGCTGCTCTCCCATACTGCTGGCAGGATTGGAATAAATGCTCATATATGACTCAACCCTGTCTCTGCTTAATTTGCTCAAGTACTGACAGGCAGCCCAGACCCCTTGGTTGTCTGGTTACAAGTCCATGTGAAATGCTGATAAATTAATCCCAAATGCCATTTGTATGCTGACGAATGAATCCCAAATGTATCTCTAACATCAGTCCTTTCCCTGATTTCCAGACCTATATATTCACCTGCCTACTTGATATATGTGTGTGGATGTCTCTCAGACATCTTGAATGTAACCTCTTAAGGCTGAATTGTTGAAAATCTTCCTCCAAATACCCATCACCTTCCATCACCTCCCATAGCTCAGGTAATGGCAGCTCTGCTCTTGCAGTTGCTCAATGTTAAAATTGTGGTTTCATCTCTGTTCCTGCAACATCCTATTGATCAACAGTTTCTACCCTGCTCCAAGCCACTCTCATCATTTCCTTGGTTATTACAGCTTACAGTTGCCTTTTAATGGAAGGGCCCCTGCTGTTTGTTTCTCTGAAGCCTATTCTCAACACTGTAGCCAGAGGGATTCCGTTAAGAGATTAGTCAGATTGTGTTACTCTTCTGTCCAAAGCCAAAGATCTTGCACTGACCTGAGAGGATCTCCATGAGCCAGCACCCTTGCAACCTTCTCATCTATCACCAATCCCTTTGAAACTCCACGCTTCCCACACAGGCCTCCTTTTATTTCCAGAGTTCATGAAAGCTCCCTGTCCTTTTAAGGTCATGGGTGTGTGGATATGGCCTACCAGAGAATCTAGATTGACTGTCAGTTTTCCTGATTGGGTGTAAGTTCGGGATTAACTGTCAAATATGTAATACAAATTATAATCCCTGAGTGATTATAATTTAATGTTCTTACTCTAACATTTGCTCTTGAAATAAGAAGGAAAATCATAGGAGAAAATTTGGACGTAGGCCAGATTGAAGGAGGAAAGGGATGGAAATGATGAGTTCTTGTTTGAATATGTTTTGACTGAGGTCCTGGGGGGACATCTGGGATGCATTCTGGTGAGCATTTGTATATAAGATGCACTTTTCCTCCTCCTTCTTTATAATTTCTAACTTCTTTTCCACAAATGAAAGACACAAACAGGGAAGTGAGAGAATAAGAAATGGTATTTTATTTTTTCCCTCTAAAGAATTCCCACCAATCAATTAATAGGCAATGATAAGCACATAGTAGTTGAGGACATACAATTTCCAAAGCATTGAAGAGAGCAGAGAGAGCTGGAGGCAGGGACATTTTTCCTTTTTAACTTCATATCAACTTATTTAACCAGTAAGGTAATATACTTGCCTCCCTGACACTCCCTGCTTCCCTCTCGATCCCTTCTTCTTCCTCTCCATTTACAGTGGTTCTCAACCTTCCTAATGCCGCGACCCTTTAATACAGTTCCTCATGTTGTGGTGACCCCCAATTTCATTGTTACAAATTGAACATAATTAAAGCATAGTTATTAACCACAAAACAATATGTAATTATATATGTTTTCCGATGGTCTTAGGCGACCCCTGTGAAAGGGTCATTCGACCCCCAAAGGGGTCGCGACCCACCGGCTGAGAACCGCTGATTTAGAGCAAGCTGTTCAGTAAAAATAGAAAAGGGGAGGCTACTCTACTCCTCCATTTCCCCCCTACCACCACCACTAACCCACAACTCCCAACTCACCCCCCCACCCCCCACTTCCCCCACTCCCGACTGGCCTGTGGCCTGAGGGTCTCTGGCAGCACTCAGACCTGTTAGACTCCATTCCCCGCCCCACCACCACACTAACCCACAACCCCCCACCCCCACTGGCCTGTGGTATGAGGGTCTCTGGCAGCACTCAGACCTGTGAGAAGCAGGCAAGCCAGAGGCATCCAGCACCTAATAGCAGACCCTCCCATTCCCCAGGCCTGGAGCTGCTCCTCCTCCTCTCTTCTATTTCTGATGACAGGAAGGCAACCTTGGGGGCTGGGTCTGCAGCCTTCTAGAAGCAAGAACTCCTGGTGATGTTTTGAGAATTGTAATGGGATTGGTGTATTTTAAGACAGATGCTTGCAAAAATGCTTTGGTAGGGAAGTTGAGCTTTAATCTAAAATGCACTTATGACGTTAAACAGATTAAGCCAGTGCCCAAAATGCCACAAAACAACAAGCCGTAAAGAAGCAGGTGTCAGGCATTTTTGAAACCAAGTATCTAATTGCTTCTTTTGAAAGATGAAGATCTGGAGGTCAAGAGAGGCATTCCCAGTGTAAAACAGACCCGGGTGTGAATCCATGCTCCTTACTGATGCTATGTGTCTTGGACCAGCGATGTGTCTTGGACTCACCTCCCCGAGCATCAGCATACTTACCTTTAGAAAAAGGGGGTGCAGATAGAACTGAGCTCAGTCAGTTCTTGTAAATATCATATGAAAGAACAGAGCTAAGGAACCAAGCCCGCGGCCTGGCATCTCGGCATTTTCCTCCCTTTCTCATCTCAGTCAGTGACAGGGTCCCAGATTCTGAGGTCAGTCAAGCTTCTCAGCCAGGTGACAGACCTGAGCCTCCAATCGTAATTAGGAATAAAAATGTTAAACCAGAAAGTAACGATAAATTCTAAAACAAAAATGCACTTCCCACTGAATACTTAAATGATGCTCTCGACTAGGCCATCTCGTACATATAGAATTCCTAAGAATAAATGTTTGTGGTACCTCCCTATTACTGCCCCTTTATACTGCTTTTACCTTATGCATTTCCTACATTTTTCACATTGGTAACAGCATCTGAATCAGTATAGTTTTCAGGTGCCCTCATCCCATGTTCTACATGGACCACACTCCATCACTAGCCTCCAGTCTCTTTTGAGTCCCTCTACCTTCCTCTCCAAACCTCTACAAATACTCATTTTTCTAAAACTCCTTTAATTACCATTTGCTTCCTTCTCCCTTTCTTAGCCATCCGGTACATCCCTTCAAGCAGGAGAGAAGGATAGGAATGACTCATGCACTTGAATCGTTGTCTCTCCCATGTGGGGCATCTGAGCATAAGCCTGTCAATGTCCAGGGATCCCTTTCCCCAGGAAGCCGACCCTGTGGAGTCTGGGGAGGAGGTGAGGGCAGAAGCCAGAGGAAGCTCAGCTGAACCTTCATTTCTCCGAATCCTGCCGCTGCTTTCCACGCAGCAGGAAATCCCCACTCACTTCAGCCTCCTCCCCACCTGCACTGTGGAGGAGAACCCCTGCCCCTGCTGGGAGGGGCAGTTCCAGAAAGGAAGGCAGCTGAGAGCTCCAAGGTAGCACAGGAAGAAGCTCCTTAGGGCATCTGAATCCCTGAGCCTGGGGATGGGCACCTCCTGCGCAGCAGGCATCCTGGTGGTGCAATGCGCTCTGTCTTCCTAGCCCACAAGGTAGAAAGGAAGCAACAGGGACCCTTATTTAACCGCTCAGCAAACCTGTGCTAGGAATTATTTTGCCATTTTTTGTAGTAGACCCTTTAGAAGACATATATTGATAAGATATCCACATTCTCAAGGAGCCAATAGGCTATTGGAGAGGGCGAGAGAGAAAAAGTGGGTCATTATGATGCAGCGTAATGCAAAGTTAGAGCAGAAAAAGGCACCATGAGATGAGGATCCATTTACCGGAGCAAGGGATCAATGAAAGCTTCCAGGAGCTGTGGACTCTGGGAGCACTAGAACAGTGTCTGGCACGCAGTAGGTACTTAAATATTGTTAATTAATTTTGTAGAAATTCAGAAATAAAACACACAGTGATTGTCTAAAAGTTGCTCACATGTCTAGAGAGGTATGGATAGTAAAGCCAAAAGCACGGTGCCTGGGGCCCTGCTTCTGGACACTGTGTGTGGCCTTGGCACATTGCTGATTTCTGGATGATATCACTCCCCGTCTGTGATGCAGGGACAATACTGCTCACTTCATAATGTGCCAGAGAAGAATACATTTCGAAATATGCTTCAGTGCAGTATCTGACATGACAAGTGCTCAAAAAATAACAAATATTACTACAGTCTAGTTTCATAAGTGAAGGGTAATAAATCATGTAATCACTTACCACAGGTCACAGCCAGTGACTTCTCTCGCAGCAGAAGCTACTGCTACTGCTCGGCAAAAAGCGGCAGAAAGGAAGTCCCAGTAGGAGCCGGGAAAATGGTTACTAGTCCTGATCAGTCACTCCCCAAGGGCACCCAGATAAAAGGGTCCTAGGTTCCTTCTCTTTCAGATAAACCTGAAGACAATGAGGATCCCTTCCAGGGATATCATTTAAATATTCAGAGTAGAGTTTGAAAGAAACTGGCAGGATCTGACTAGACCAGAAAGAGTGAAATGGGTTGGGGAAATACTGCCTTAGAAAGAGGAGTCAGACAGCAAAGAGGTGAAACTGGAATTAGTGGTGGGTGAGCCATGAAGGGTTCCCTAAAAACGATTCTAGCAATAAAGGGCTGAAGAACCCCAGTAGCGGCTTTTGCTTACACCTGTGAGATGGGGTTCATGTAGGTGGCAACTACCCAGTGAGGCTCTCCTCCCCAGGGCCAAACTTCTGCCAAACGGAGATATTTGCCCCAAAAACCCCCCAGTGTCCATACCTGAATGAGACAAGGTCAGAACTAATGGAGAAAAGGAAACAGCGATGGCTCCAAGGACAAAATGGGGAGGAGGGGGGAGAAATGTGGAATGAGCGCCTGCTTTCCATTTCATGTTAATCCTACACAGCAGGTTCCTGGCTTCTAAGAAGGCTTTACTTGTTTGATTATCTGCAGCAAAGAATTTGGCGAGAAAATCTCAGTGGGGAGATAAATACTGTAAAAGCTGCACAGAATTTCCAGGGAGAAGACTTGTATGAAAGCCAAGAGAAAGGAAAGGGCCTTTTGCGTGCACTGTGGGGAGGATTAGTGAGGCATTTCCCATCTCTCCAGGGGAAAGCCCCAGAGAGGGGTCCGCCCCATGGGTGCCGCAGCTATTTTCAGAGGAGGTGTGGCGTGCCCTTTGGGGGCAGACTTTGTTGATGCATCTTGTTTCTTTTCCCCGCAGATGGATGAGCAGCTCCGGCTCAACTATAACTTCTCCCCAGAAGTGGAGTTCAGGGCTGTGAGGTCACTCACCTTGGGCAAAGTCACAGGTTTGTACTCTTGTCCACTGGGCTTTGTTAAAATACATGAATGAATACATGATTTTCATCAGGATATTAAGTGATTCAAATCTAGAACCAAGATTTCTGGAATGGGAGAAGCTATGATATGTGTGTGGTGGTTTGGGAATTGGCATTTGCCTCTATATTATGGAATCTTGAATAGGGTAAATTAACAAAAAAACACTAAGTGATTTTTTTTTTACTCAATTTAGAATTAATCAATTAATTTAAAAGGCTTACTTAATTTTTTACTTAAATTTACTTAATTTTTACCTAAAACCATTAAGGATTTGGAAACCCTAATTATTAGGTTGCTCAAATCCTTAATCTCTTTACTAATTCATCAACAATTGAAAAGGGATTGAAATCTCTTACTATAATTGTGGATTTTCTTTTATTTTACTGGAAGTTCTATGAATTTTTATTTTATATTTTATGAAGGTATTTATTAAATGCAGGGAAGATTAAAACTTTACAATGATTTTAATGATATTTTTTATTACTGGCATTATTTTTATACTTTAATTTCTCTTTGTGATAAAATCTACTTTGTCATTCAGTTTCACTTTAGTAAATATTTATCAGGCCTATTTTTTCCATATATTTTCTATTAATATTTATTTTTCTAAGTGTCATGTATAATCTTATGAAAAGCATAGAGTTTAATTTTGCAATTTATCCAGTCTAACCCGTCAACTTTGTAGTTGGCAAAAGTAAGCCCCTTTACAATTTGGGGCCACTTATTAAGGTTGAATTTGTTTCTGCCTCCTTGTTTTCTACTTCTTCAACTTTCCCTGTGATTCTATCTTGTTGTTATTTACTCTCTCAATCACAGTATATTGCAGAAAACAAATACCAGGGACATTTTAAGAAGGAATGAATTTAACACAGGAAATTATTTGCTTACAAAATTGTGGCAGCTCTTCTGGTGTGGACTCTTGTTAGTCTTTCAAAGTGACTCCCCCAAATTTTTGAGTTGGTTAATGGGGAGTTGTCACCAACGAGGACATCACTGATGCTAGCCTGAAGACCAGAGGCCACTGTGACCTAGCACTGCATGTCAGCTCCCTAGAGGAGAAGAAGGGCTCTGAACAATGGTGGCGGAGGACACTTCCTGTTCCATGACTTGGTAGGGCAGTAGACACAATTGAGAAAGCAGGACAATGACTCTGGTCTCACTGCAGCCGCTCAGATCCATAAATTGAATACTTTGGTTTTTCGAGAATAATGTGCACCCAGAAATCTAGCTGCAGTTAGGTCTAAAAAGTTACATTTTAGTTTCCAGTGGCAGTTGAATGAGCCAATCAAGTGACCGAGCTCAAAGTTACATTTCATGTTACTTTCTTATTCCATTACCTCTTTTTATTAATTAGTATTTGATGTACACACTTCTATTTTTGGTTTACTAAGGCGGGCAGTAATCTACTTGTTGTTCATTCTTTCCTATATTTCTGAACACTCTACTTACCAGGTTTTCTCTTAATTTTTCTATTGTTTGCAATACAGATGAAATTCCATATTATATTTAGCATAGTAGTTAAACATTTATATAACTTATGAAGTGATCCCTAGTAAGTATAGTACCTACTGTCAAACTTCTGTCAAACTGAGATATTTGCCCAAGAAATCTAACTGGCACCATACATAATTATTACAATACTTCTTACTAGATTTCCTAAGCTGTGACTATTTTGTAACTGCCAATTTATAATTCTTAATCTCTTTATATTTTTTACCCAGCCCCAATCTGACAGCCTCCTCCAATCTGGCAGCCCTCAGTTTGGTCTCTGTGTCTGAGTCTGTTTCTGCCTTGTTTGTGCATTTATTTTGTTTTATAGATTACACATACTAGTATAAGTAAAATCATACAGTATTAGTCTTTCTCTGACTTATTTCATTTAGTATAATACTCTCTAGGTCCATCCATGTTGCCATAATCAGACTTCATTATTTTTTATATCCTAGTAATATTCCATTGTATTTGTATTGCTCATTATCTTTATCCCGTCATTTATTGATGGACATAGAGTTTGTATTCATTGCTTGGCTATCTATACCAGTGATGGCGAACCTTTTGAGCTCGGCGTGTCAGCATTTTGAAAAACCCTAACTTAACTCTGGTGCCATGTCACATATAGAAATTTTTTGATATATGCAACCATAGTAAAACAAAGATTTATATTTTTGATATTTATTTTATATATTTAATGTCATTTAACAAAGAAAAATCAACCAAAAAAAATGAGTTCAAGTGTCACCTCTGACACATGTGTCATAGGTTCGCCATCACTGATCTATACTAATAGGTGGTGTTACGCCCTCATGTTGTCACAAGATGGCAATCATAAGAAGGCCGTGCACACAGGGGAGGCAGGGCCCAGAGGCCACTCCATGCAGTGAGGCCTGGGGGTCCTGCAGCTCTGCGCAGCATAGAGGAGGCCGATCCTGGTGTCTCCACCACCTTGCGTAGAGAAGGCGGTTCTGGCAGAGGAGGCGGGTTGCGGAAGGGGAGGGCAGTTGTAGGCCATCAGGCCAGCAGTGGAGCAGTTAGGCATCAATCAGGCCAGCAGGGGAGCGGTTAGGGAGTGATCAGGCTGGCAGGCAGAAGTGGTTAGGGGAAATCAGGCAGGCAGGAAGGAGAGCGATTTGGAGCCAGCAGTCCTGGATTGTGAGAGGGATCAGGCCTAAACCAACAGTCAGACATCCCCTGAGGGCTTCCAGATTGGAGAGGGTGCAGGCCAGGCTGGGAGACACCCCGCCCTGTGCATGAATTTTGTGCACCGGGCCTCTAGTCTATAATAATAAAAATGTAATATGATAATTAGACCAGACAGCTGAAAGACCATCCCGACATCATTCCAGACAAAGCTGCAGCAACAGGGGCCAAGGCAGAGGTGGTTAAGGGCTACCAAGCAGGCAGGCAAGCAGTTAGGGACAATCAGGGAGGCAGGTAGAACAGTTAGGGGTGATCAGACAAGCAGGCAGAATGGTTAGGGACGATCAGGCAGGCAGGCAGGCAGAGTAGTTAGGGGTGATCAGGCAGGCAGGCAGGTGAGCGGTTAGAGCCATCGGTCCCAGATTGCAAGAGGGATGTCCGACTGCTCGTTTGCCCGCAAAATTGGTCCTAAACCAGCAGTTGGACATCCCTCGAGGGGTCCCGGATTGCAAGATGGTGCAGGCCAGCTGAGGAACCCTCCTCCCCCTGCATGATTTTCATGCACTGGGCCTCTAGGTGTAAATAATATTTCAATGAACATAATGTTGCATACATCTTTTCAAATTAATGTTTTGGATTTCTCCAGAAAATAAAAAAATAAAAAAAAACAGATGTCAAATTGCTAGGTTATAAGATAGTTACATTTTTATTTTTTTGATCTGCATACTGTTTTTGATAGTGGATGCATGAATTTGCAATCTCACCAAAAATTCATGAGAGGTCCCTTTTCTCCACATCATCACATTGTTATTTGTTGATTTATTGATGAATGCCATTTTGATAAGTATGAGGTGATATCTCATTGTGGTTTTAAGTTGCATTTCTCTGATGATTAGTGACATTTAGCATATTTTCATAAATCTACTGACCATCTATATTCCCCTTTGGGGAAGTATTTATTCAGGTTTTCTGCCCATTTTTTAGTTGAATTGTATGTTTTTTTGTTTTTAGTGTTATGTGGCATGAGATATTTATAATTTTTTTATATTAAACTCTATTGGATATATTATTGTTAAATATCTTCACCCATTCAGGTTGTTTCTTTTCTATTTGTTGATGTTTTTTTCTTTGTTGCACAAACTCTTTTTTGTTTGATATAGCCCTATTTGTTTAATCTTTCTTTTGTTTCCCAGACCAACAAGACATATAAGAAAAAAAAATATATTACTAAGAGTAATTCAAAGTGTTTTCTGCCTATGTTTTCTTTTAGGTGTTTTAATATTTCAGGCTTATATTTTTTTTAATCTATTTTGAGTTTATTCATATACTAGTACATGGTCAAAGAAAGTGACCTAGTTTTAATTTATTTTTCATGTGTCTGTACAGTTTTCCCAACAACATTTATTGAAAAGGCTCTTTATTCCATTTTATGTTCTTGACTTTTGTCATATATGAATTAATTATAGAGGCATGGATTTGGTTCTGGGGTTTTTATTCTGTTCTATTGATTTATGTGTGTCTTTATGGCAGTACCATGCTGTTTTGATTACTATAGTCTTGCAGTATAATTTGATATCTGGTAGTGTGATACCTCCAACTTTGTTCTTTTTTAGGATTGCTCTGGCTAATTGTGGTCTCTTGTGGTTCCATATAAATATTAGTATTATTTGTTCTAGTTCTGCTAAAAATGCCATTTGTATTTTTATAGGGATGATATTGAATCTATAGATTGCATTGGATAGTATGCACTTTTTAATGATGTTAATTCTTCTATCTATGACCACAATATGTGCTTCCATTTATTTGTATCTTCCTTTATTTCTTTCTTCAGCATCTTATAATTTTACAAGTATAGTTCTTTTATCACAATGATTAAATTTATTCCCAGGTGTTTTATTTTATTTTAAAATTTATTGGTTGATTTTAGAGAGAAAGAGAGAAGGGATAAAGAGAGAAACATTGATTTGTTGTTCCGCTTATATATTCAATTATTGGTTGCTTCTTATATTTACAATTACTGAGGACTGAACCCAAAACCTTTGTGTATCATGATTATGCTTTAACCAACTGAGCTACTCAGCCAGGGTGATATATATATATATATATATATATATATATATATATATATATATAGTAATTGGGTAATTGGAAATGTAATTGTTCTCAATTTCTCTGATAGTTTATTATTGGGGTATACAAATGCAACCAATTTCTGAATATTAATTTTGTATTCTCCTAGTTTACTGCATTCATTTACAAGTTCTAATAAATTTAAAATGATACTTTTATTGATTTTTATAGTGAAAGAAAAGGAGAGAGTAACATTGATGTG